TAATATTTATTTATTTATAAAGGATTAAGATTTTATTTGAGATTAGGTTTCGTCCTCTTTTTTTTTACCCTAACTTATTAAAAGTCGTACTCTAACTTATACTCGTATTAATAGTTATTAATATATTTAATTTTAATAAGGATATATCTAATCCGTACGCTAGTTATAATAAATCTATACCTTTACTATTTAACGAATTTATTAAAGTTTAAAAAATTCCCATTTTTTCTTACCGTTTTATTATTACTCTCGTTTTTACTATTTTTAATAATTATTACTACTTTTTTAAATTATTAACTATTGTACTTACTAAGATCCTCCTTTTTATTTAGTATAAAGAAAAAGGTTTTAATAATTCTTTTTTTTAATAATAATAACAAACGTTTATATTACTATAAAACAATATAATAATTAATCTTAAAACTTTTACTAATTATTAATTTTTATTATTCCGTATATTTTTAACCTCTTAAGCCTTATACTTTCTATAATTTTTAAATAGCCTCTTTTTTTAACCTACCTCTTTTAGAATAGTATTTTATAAAAATAATTAAAAATAGATACTAAGTAGCTCGGAGAGGAGCTATATAAGCTATTAAAAACTATATAAGCTATTAAATACGGTTAACGAAGTTAAGCCTTCTTTTTTATAAAATCGTAAACTTTAAAAACTTATTAAAAATACCTACTTATTACTTATATATAATAAGGTTAAATATTTTAAAAATCTCGTTTTTTATAGCCTCTTAGTACCCTATTTTATATTTTTTAAGTAGTTTTTTTCGTAATTTAATTATAATTAAGTAATTATTATTTACTAGCGATCCTTTTTATTACTTAGTTAATTTTTTAAAATTAATAATCTCGTACTAAGAGCTAATATAAAAAAAAGCCCTTTAGTAGCCCTCTAAAGGATTCTTTTTTTTTCTTTTTAAATTTTTATCTTTTTAGCCTTTTTTTAAATTAATAATAACTTTATTAAGAGGTCGTAAAATTATTTTAAAATAGCTACCTTTTTTTTAAGTTAATCTCTAAGATTTATAATACTTTTAACTCGATATTATTAGGACCTCTAAATCCCCTCTTTTTTTATTAAATTATCCCTTATATTATATTTTTAAATAATACCCGAGGGGTAATTAAGGGAGCTACGAAGTAGTTATTTAGATTATAAGTTTAAAATTATACTTATAAAATCCTCGTAATAATAGACTTTTCTATATATTATAAATCTCTTAGCTTAATAACTCCTATACGCTTCTTATTATATTAATTAAAAAATATTTACGTTTAAAAATCCCTTTTTTTAATTACGTAGTATTTTTTATACCGTATTATTAAATATTACGGCTAGCTAGTCGTAGTAAGTATATTAATAAAAGTTAAGGCTACGAGTACTAAGTAAATAGTATCGTAGTTATAAATAGCTTTTTTAAAGCTATATTTATAAGTTATAAAATAAATAAGGCTTTAGTAATTAATTATAATCTTATTAGAGGGGTTCTTAATAAAAATAACTAAAAACGATTATAAGATTTAATATTAAGTTAATTATTAAAAAAGTTATAAAAAGTCTATCCTTAAGCCTAGCTTAAGTTTATACTATATATAAATCTCGTTCTTAAATATATCCTTTATAATATCCCTATTTATTATTATTTAACTATTTATTAAATAGTTATCCGTCCTACTTATTTATAATTATTCGTTCTATTTATTTATAAGCGTCCGTTTTTTATTTTATTATATAATTATAGTTATATAACTTATTTATAGTTCTTTTATCTTAAGAGGAGTTACCTTAAGTCCGTATTTTTATATATATAATATAATAGCCGCTATAAGTCTTATAGGGTAAGGCCCTAGCTTTATTATATATATTAAGTCGTAATATTAGCTTCTCTTTTTAAAAGTCTAGTCCTCTAGGCCTATAAATAGGTCGTCTATTCCTAAGTTAGGGAATTATTAAGTATTTTTTTTTTTAAAAATATATTAATATAATATTAGGTCGAATTAAAAAATCGAAATCTTTAATAACTACGTCTCGTTATAAACTATTACGTATTATTCGTTTTTTTAATAAAAGTATAGAAATAATACTTTATTTAAATTATCGTTTGCAAGGGGTCCGTTATTTAGTTCTTCCTAATTCCGAGGTCTATAAAATATATTATTACTTAAGTATTTTATATAATATATCCGCTAATACTATTTATACTCGTAAATACTACGTTTTTATTTATAAGTTTTAGTTTAATTAGGTATAATTAGTTAGTTAATAATAAAGTTTAATCGTCTTAATTATAAAAAAAAAGTAAAAAAGTTACGGTTTTAAAAAAGAGCTACGGAGTTATAAAAAAAGGTTAAGGCTTATTAATAAGTTTAAATTAAGTTAAATAAGTCGTTATTTAAGTTAAATAAGTCGTTATTTAAATTAAAACGTTTTCGTTTTTAAAAGCGAATAGTATTTAAAAAGAGTCGAGTTATATTAAAAGAGTTTCCTAAGGATTCCGGAAATACTTCCTTAGCGGCCCGTAAGGTATAAGCTAATAATACTTTTAAGATTATTAATTAGGATACCGTAATAACTAGGAGTTCTAAATTTAATTTTAATTTTAATACTCCTTAAAAAACTATTAAAAGTTCTAAAAGTTCGTAATAAGTTCTTATATATTTCTTTTATATTTATAGTTTTTCTATTTAATAAAAAATTCTCGTATTTTATTCTTAATTTTATAATTAATAATTCGTTTAACTTCGTACTCTAATTAGTTTAGTTTAATAATAATATAATTTTCTATATATAAACCTCTTAATATAGGTTTAAATAGTAAAATATAAAAAACGGGATAGTATCGTATTATATTTAGTAATCTTAATTCGTAATTAATTAATAAGACTTTTTTAATAATTTTAAAAAGTCTAAGCTTTTTATAATTTAACTTATTACTTAGTCGTTTAGTTTTAATATTATAATAAAAGAGATAAATACTATCCCCCTTTTTTAAAAATAGTCCTCTAATCCTTAATCTATTCGCGTTTTTTTTTATATATTATTATATAAACTCGAAGTTTAATAAGGCTTATTTATAAATCTTTTTAAGTTTATTTACGTTTATTATAGCTTTTATAGCTTATAGTCCTTATTATACTTCTTTATATATTATTAACTAGAATCTATAGTTAAAATAAAACGGGGATTCTCTTATACTTTTATTAATTATACTATTATATACGAACTAGGCTATTAATAAAAGCGCTACTTAATTATCTTAGTCGTAGTTTATATAATAACGAAGGTATATTTCGAGGATTTAGTTAATTCTTTTTATCTATCTATCGGTTTACGAATAAAATAATATCGATAGTTTATAATCTATACTAAGTTACGAAATTAGGGATTTTTAAAACTTTAAAATAAATAGTTTATTTTTATTTAAAATAATATTTTTTAGTAAACCGTAGTTCGAGAGTATAATTTTAATAAACATATATATTAAGTTTTCTATAATATTTAATTCTTTATAAAGAATAAAATATACGAACTTAGTAAGTCGGTCGACTATAACTAAGATACTATTATACTATATTTTAATAAATAGTTTTTTAAATTTTAATAATTTAATAATAAAGTCCTATATAATTAATTATTATATTTTTGTTAGTAGTTATAGTGGTTATAGCTCGCTATAGGGCTTATACGGGCTATTTTTACTTTTTTTATAAGTTACGTAGTTTTTAATTACTTCCGCAATTTTAGTATATATAGCGGATTTATTATAATACTAGCAAATCCGTTTTTACGTTTTAATAATTCTTTAGTAACCGTATATTAGTATATTATAAATTTCTATAATAAGCTTAGAAATTATTTTTCTAATCGGGCTAGTATTAATCTTTTTAATTATTATAAAAAGCTTTATAATTAATATAAAACTACCGTCCTTTTTTTATTTAAAAATAACTTATATTTCTTTAGGGACCGTAACTTTATAGTTAGGTTTTTTATTAAGAGCGTCTACTCTATTATTTTCTAAATCTTTTTAATAAATAATTTAAAAATTAAACTTAAATAAGAACTCGCTCTACCTAACTTATCGTTTATTTAGGTTTTTATTTATTATAAAGTTTATAAAGTTCTTATAATCTATATAAACTATAACTTCGTACTTAGTTCTAAATAACTATAGTCTCTATTTTTAAAATACTTCGATAATAACTATAAGTTCCTTATTATAAATTTATTAATTTAATTCTACTCTATAAAATATTTTAAAATAGAAATAATATAAATAAAGCTTTTTTTATTCGTTTTATTATTTTAAAACCGCTCTTATAATAAAGTTTAAAGCGTTAGTCTTAATTTTAAAAAGCTTTTAGGGGTCCGGAATTATAATAACTAGTTTAAAAACGATTATATTCTTAACTTTAATAAATACTTTTTTATACTTAGGATCCTAAACGAATAGGGTATCCTTTTATATTAAGTTATTAAGAAGTTTAACTATACTAATATAGTCCTTAAAGAATTGTTAATAAAAATTAATAAATTTTAAAAATTTTTATACGTCCTTAACGTTTTATAATATAAGCTAATCCTTAACTACTTCTATTTTTAATACTTATATATAGATTTATTTTAGTATAATAATATATTTAAAGAAGTTTATTTTTTATATATAGAACTCGTACTTAGAGGGTTTAGTATATAACTTAGCGTCTTAGAACTTTTAAAATATTATATAAATATACTTTTTATATATTTTAAAGTTAGGGGAGAAAATAAGAATATTATTAATATAAATAATAATAAAAATATTAACGTACTCTTAGAGTACGTAATTAATTATTATTTAAAAAGTTATTAAAATATTAATAAGTCTAAAGGGTATAATAAGGTACTTAAAAAGTCCTTTATGAGTTCGAAATATCGTTTTTTATTCGTCTCTTTTTTTAATTCGAATTTAGTTAAATACTTCCTTAAGATTTATAATAATAAACTAGTTAGCTCTATAAAATAAGTTTCTAAGCTTAGCAATAAGTAATAAAGGATAGTAATTCTTTTTTATAATTTCGTTAAGTTTTTTATAGTTAATAATTAGTTTTCGTTTCTTTATTCTTTTTTTTAATATAAAAAATAAAAATAATCCTATAAAAGAATTCGACGGTTAAATAAGTCCTTTTTTAAGTTTCTTATTAATATATTCGTCGAGGTATTCCTATTTTTTTTAATTTATTAAGTATATTAAAAAGAACTTAAGTTATGTTCCTTTTTTAAGTTCGATTTTTATATCCTAGCTATTATATTTTAATAACCCTATTTTTTTAGGTTTTATAAATAGTTTTATATATATCTAGTACTCTTCGGGTATAGTTTAGAATCGTTATAATCCCTAATTATTAATATTAGCTATAAACTTCTTAAAGCTTTTTACTATCTTAATAAAAATTATATATCGTATTTATTCTCGTTTTTTAAAAGTTCTTAAAAATCCGTTTAAACCTTTTTTTTTTTTAAATTATTTAATAACTAAATTTTTTTAAAGGACCTAGTTAGTAGTTTAATTTATTTATAAATTATATTTTTATAACTACGAGATTCTTAAGATAATATCGATATCTCCGATCTTTATAATATCGTACTATAGTTATTCTAACTAGTTATTAATATATATCGAGAGGTATATAGTCTCCTAATTAATATATTTATAATTATAATTAACTCGTTCTCTTTTTATTATTTATAATTAATATAAGTTATTTTTTTATACTTATAATAAGTTAAGTTTATTTACTATCCTTAATAAGATATAACTTTCTTATATGCCGCTATTAATAATAGTATTTAATCCTTATTTATAAATATCGAGGTTAATTTATAAATATACGTCGTTATATTATTTAGTTATATATAAGAACTTTTTTATTTATTTTTACTTTTTATCGTTCTTTTATAATTAGCTTTTTTAGTTTTTTAATATATACTTTTTTTTTGAGTATTTTATTTGCATAGTTCTTATTATTTTTTTTAGGCCTTAGCTTTTTTAATATAATAAACTTAATATTAGTTATATTTATAGTCTTTTTATTTTATATATTTATTATTAAGGTATTTTATAAAAAAGCTAAGGTCTAGGCTAAATATTATTTTATTATTACTATCGAGACTTAGTAATATTTAATTAAGTAGTTAGTCCTCTATATAGATATTTTTAATAAGCTTATTATTGCGTTTTTATAAATAAAAGCGGTTATTTTATTTATATACGAGGTACTAAAAATACTTATTATCTAAGTATTCTACTTAAAATAATTCTTTATAAAAGGGGTCCTCGGGGTTAAGTAGAGAGTAGTTTTTATTTATATAGGGGGTTATTACGACCTTTTTACGTTCTCTAGTTCTATAAAACTAAATAGTTTAATTATCCTTAAATAAATAAATATATTTATATTATAGTTCGTTATCGTCCTCTTTAAAATTAGTATTATTAATACTAAATAGTATTTTATAATCGATCTCTATTTAAGTACGTCGTTAGGTAATATTAAAACGTTCGTCCGAATTATAAGGTAATTCTATTTTATTAAAATAAAAAGAACTAGTTTTTATATTAATATTTTCTTTTTTTTTAAAATTAAAGTTAATTTTTTTTTTTTTATAATTCCGAAATTAAGAGTCGGTCTCTTAAATACTTCGATCTTATTTTTATATAAGAAGTCTTCGAGCTATTCTTTAATTTTATAAATAAATTTCCTATTGCTATTTACTTTTTATATTATATAAATAGACTTAGTTAGGATCTTATTTAATTTAAGTCCTTCCTTAGACTTAATAAGTTATTTTTAGTTTATATAGTTTCGTTATACTATATAAATAAAGCTATTTATAATTTTTTTTATATTAAGTCCTCTTTTTTTAAATTTAAAAAGTTACTCCTTTATATTAACTAGGAGTCTTTATTTAATTTATCTTTTAAAAAAGTAAAGTATATCCTTTATAATAGGGTCCGTTTTAACCTTCTCTTTTATATTTTTATAAATTTAAAAAAGTATAGTAATATATGTAATATTATTCTCTTCGAGAATATAGGGTTTATAAGTAGGTATTTCTTCTTTTTTTATTACTATTATTAAGGTTTTAATAAGAAGTAAGGTAGATTATCTACTATTTTTAGGTTATTTTAGGTACTATTTTATTTATTTTTTATTATTTTAATAAGTTAAATAGTTATTATTATAATAAACCGTTTATAAGAGTTATTTATAAGGGACTTCTTTATTTATAATATTAGCTCGTTTTTTTAGAATAGGTTAGTATTAAATATATTTAGGTTATTAGTAGTCTCTAGCTATATATCCTAGCTTATTATAATTATAGTATTTAAAATCCTTTTTTTATTAAAGTTTTTCGCATTTAGCGACGCTAAGGTCTATAAGTCCTCCGTATTATTTATAAAATATACTTTATTATTATTAATTTCTTAAGTTATTTTAATAATTACTTAGTAGCTTATCGTAGTTCTAATATCTTTTACTAAAATTAGCTTAAAAATATCGTACCTCCCCCTTTTCTTTACGTTATTTATATAATTAAGTATTAATCTTAATAGCGAGTTTAGTATACTATAAGAATTTTATTAATATTTTTATTTTATTAAGTTCGTCCTTAACTTTATTTTTTAGTCCTTAATAAAACGAAAAAATGCGGGTTTCCTTAGTAAAATCGAGTTATACTACGAGTTTTCTAAACTTAGTAGCGTAATATAAAACGGACTTAGTTTATTAAAAGTTAACTAGTTTTTTTTTAGCTTATTGTTTTTTATTAAAGTCTTAGAATAGGGATTTAGGGGTACTTTAAAATCTTACTATATTACTAAAAATATTCGTAGTTTCCTTTTTATAATAAGGTAAATAGCTATTATTACTAAGGAATTTTTTTTAAAAGGGTTCGAACTACTCTAAGGCTCGTTTTCTAAAGAAGGTTACTATATAAATAACTCGTTTAGTTTTATTATAAAAGTTAATAATATAGAATGTTTAGTAAGTTCTAATCTAAATTAGGAATCCCTTAAGACGTTTAGTAGTTTTATTAAAGGTAATAAGTATATTAAGCTTAAGTTTCTCTTATTTATTTATAAAAGTCTTAATAATACTAATAACGGCTCAGAGGGTTCTAACTTTTTACTTTAAGTCGTTTACTTCTCTTTTTTTAATCCCTAAGTTAATTATAGCTTCGTTAATTATATTTTAAAGGGTAGTAATATTTTTATTATTCTTAATTAGAATTACGGCTATTTAAGTAAAGTTATTATTAAAAAGCTCCGTAAGTTCCTTATTTTACTTATTACTTTTCTTAATAATACGTCGTATTTTTTTATAATTTACTTTTTTAAAAACTATATTATTATTAAAATTATAAGTAATATTAAGTATCTCGTTATCTTTAACCTTAGCTAGCTCGCTAGTTAAGTTAATAAGTCGTTTAGAGTTAAATAAAGGGGTATTTAAGGTCTTAAAAAATATTATCGTTCGTTTTTATTACTTAGTAAGTTTTATAAAGTTAACTTACTAAATAAGAATAATTAAAGTATTATAACTAGTTAGTTATAATAAGTATATTAATAAAAATTAAGGCTATGAGTACTAAATAAATAGTATTATAGTTATAAATAACTTCCCTAAAGCTATATTTATAAGTCGTAAAATAAATAAGGCTTTAGTAATTAATTATAGTCTTATTAAAGGGGTTCTTAGTAAAAATAGCTAAAAATAATTATAAAATCTAATACTAAGTTAATTATTAAAAAAGCTATAAAAAGTCTATCCTTAAGCTTAGCTTAAGTTTATATTATATATAAGTCTTGTTCTTAAATATATCCTTTATAATATCCCTATTTATTATTATCTAACTATTTATTAAATAGTCGTCCGTCCTATTTATTTATAATCGTCCGTCTTACTTATTTATAAACATTTATTCCTTATCTTATTATATAATCGTAGTTACGTAACTTATTTATAGTTCTTCTATTCCGAAAGGAGTTACCTTAAGTCCGTATTTTTATATATATAGTATAGTAGCTACTATAGGTCTTATAGGGCGAGGCCCTAGCCTTATTATACGTATTAAGTCGTAATATTAAACTTACTTATTATACTAATTAATTAAGTAAGTAGTTACTACGTAAGTATTTTTTTTTACTAATTTAACTAATTAATTTTTAATTATAAGCCGGCTATAGAAAAGTTATTTAATAAAAAAGCTACTTAAAATAATAGTAAAAGTTTAGTTACTTAAGTAGTTCCGTTAATTAACGTAGTTTAATATAATAAACGTTAACTTTTTATAAGTAATAAAGGGTTATAATTACTTAATTCCGTATAGTATTTAAAAATTACCCCCTTTTTTATTTATTTTTATAAGGTTAATTAGTACGAATTTCTTATTTTATATAATATTAAGAAGTCGTCTCTTTTATATAATAAGATACTTTACTAATTTATAATAATAAAATTTAATTACTAATTAGTATTAATATCCCTATTATAAAATAATTAATTCGAACTATAAATTAATAAAAAGATTAATTAAATTATATAAATATTTACGTAGTAAGTATAAAAAGGAGGTTTTAATTATAGGTTAGGCTAGCTATAATAATTATAAATAGGGCCCCTAATTAGCCCCTATATAGTCGGCTATATGCTACGGTCGAATTAGACTTCTAATCCGATATAAAGACTTCTAGAAGCCAGGTTTGCAACTAGGAAACTTCCCTGTGCCGAAGTAAACCTGTAATAGCATTTAATATACTGCTGAGCTTGCTCAACCTAACCTGCAGAGTAGGCTTCCCAAAAGTGGTACCCATTAAGTGGTACCCATTGGTGACATAACTTGATCATTACGACGCCGTAGATGAAAAACAGGCGTGTTTTGAGTAGATATTATTGGTGACTTACAACAGCAACAGCTTGAAGTCGGTTCTCGTATGATTTAACTCCTAATTTATCCCAAGTACCTGAATTTGAGTAACATCTAGAGATCAGAGAGTGACATACTGTCTTCGTATTTGGCAAATGGCTCCATCTGGAGACTTGAAATGGGATGGTCCCGACTTGTGCTAAACTATTGTCAAGCTTCTTTCGTTCAAAATCTCTTGAAGTCCACTGACAATACCTTCTCCAAGGTTGTTATTTCACAACAAAGTGCATTCTCAACATCTTGCCACCATCAAAATCTCCACTTTCCAAGACGATTGAAAGAGAGAGATATCTTTCGACAAGTCCGTCCTTTCACATTTCTTTCTACCCGTAAAAGAGACCAGAGAGCCTGAGGTACCTCACATCACACGGCGGAGCACGATTAGTCGTCGCATGTGAACTTTAGATGGACGACAAACTCCCGCCGTTGATAGAGTAACAGGAAAAAAGAGCTGCCAGAACACCCTTCTTGCTGCCACGAGGGAAATCAGAAGCACAAGACCTGCCTCGAGTTTCCTACCTTAGCTTCATCGCTTCTTTCCTCCATCATACCGTTACAATTGCTTCTTCTTCCACCCAGAATTTCCCCATTCCACGAAAAGCCACCGCAACAATTATCGCAGACTCAGAGCAAACCAACAAGCACAGATCCATCTAAGGAGATGATGAACGAGAGCGAGGAAGATGAGAACATCGCTCTCGCAGCGGAAGGACGAGCGGAGATCGTCGAAGGAAAGTTCAGGGAACTAGGGGTCCCTCGCAAATTCGACTACGAACGCGTCAAGGCCGCGAGAGCAAATCAAATGGCGAGATCACTGATCCATGAGGGCCGCGAATCCGTTTCAACCGCATGGTTCGCCTGGTATATCGATTTCAATGTATGGAACTTCATCCAAGAGAAGTGTGAGTACTACCGCAGACATCAGGTCCGAAACCCTCTGCTGACGTTCTTGAACTGCCTTCCAGTCGCCAAAAACGGCGACCACGAGACCTTCCCGTGGATCGACTTCGAACCAGCCGTGAAGCCCAAGACCCCCGAAGACGCCTCCGCCTGGTTCGACGGCTTGAAGGACGCCATCAAGCAAACGTACGACCTTCCCGCCCTGGAGCGGAAGAAGCAGGGTCTCACCCTGATGAGACCGGAGAACTACCTTGTGCGTGACCACGACAGAGTCGCCGCGCGTTTGCGCGAAGACACTTGGAACAACGTCTTCCCCGGAAGAGTGCCTCCCCACGGCATCGCCTTTGAAGTCATCGTTCCCTCTGCCGTCAAGATGTTCTCGGATCTGAAGTGGGACGTAACCCGGGGAGCGCATCATATCCCGGATACAGTCGGCATTTCCACGGTTGGGCGAGTACACCGCCGCGGCCACTTTGTTATGGCCATGGTTCTCGGTTATAACCCTGGCGTCGTTGACGACCCGGAGAGCAGATTGATTCTGGCCAAGACGTACGACCTCATCTTGAAATGGGCCGTGACGATCATCATCACCGGCAGAAGCATGAAGCTCACCGAAGCTTTCAAGGGCTTCGACCTGCGGGAGCCTGGACTTGATGCTGATGGAGAGGATGCGATCATGGGAGGCATGGGAGACGAGATGGAGCTCACGCGGGAGCAGCTCGCCCTCTGCGCTGAAGAGTTTGATGTGGTGCCGTTGACTTCCATCCCGGACTACGCTGTGTTCCGGGTGAGCGAATGGCTGCACCGGGAGGTCTGCCGCACATCGGCAGAGGATCGCTGCCGATTGCTCCGGGATTGGTGCCAGCTTGAGAATGGCAAGTTCCACCAGAACCTCGAGGGGATGACTCGAGAGGACCTCCAGAAGGCTTGTCATGAAGCGTGGATGGAGAAGACAAACAACTGGAAGGGAACGCTTGACGTCACGGTGTGGTCGTGGACTGAGGAGGTTTACTGGGCGAAGAAGATTGCGGAGCCGTTTGACTCTTGAGCGAGATGATACCCAGATGACGGAGAGGGATCATGGTACTTATGTCCATCTTGTTACTCATGGCATGGCACTCTGTTGAGTTCTGGGCAAGGACAGAAAGGGGCGACGCATAAGTCAAACTCTGGAATCATGAAGGTCGTTTTGTATTGAGCATTGTATCAATCATGTCTATTATTCACCAAACCACGCTCTCCATCCATTTTTTTTCACTCCAAAAAAAGCCGCCGCACCTCAGATGACATTCTTCAACGACTGGCTAGCACGGAACCGCCTCAAGTTATACGCAATCAACGCCTCCGCGCCCTGCGGCCTTCCACCAGCAGCATGCGGCGAGACAACAACATTCGGCGCCTTCCACAACCGGCTCGACTCGGGCAACGGCTCGGTGACAAACACATCGAGCGCCGCGCCGCCGACCTCGCCGGCCTCGAGCGCGTCCACGAGCGCCTCCTCGTCAATGGACGTGCCGCGGCCGACGTTGACGATCCACGCGTGCTTGGGCAGCTGCTTGAGGCGCGCGGCGTTGAGCGCGTTCTTGGTGGACTCGGAGCCGGGGAGGATCATGACGAGGGCGTCCGTCTCGGGGAGGAGCTCGGCGAGCTTGTCCTCGCCGTAGACCTCAACGCCGTCGCGGATGCCGGCGTTGCGGGCGACGCCCTTCACCTGGGCGCCGAGGCCGCGGAGGTGCGGGGTGAGCGACTTGGCGATGTTGCCGAAGCCCCAGATGAGCACGCGGGCGTCGCGGAGGGTGGTGAAGGCGTTGGCGGGGCGGTCGGGCTGCGGGCCGCCGAGGTGGCCTGGCCACTTTGACTGGAGCTGGTAGTCGCGCATCTCGTAGAAGCGGCGGGCGGCGTTGAGGAGGAGGCCGAGGGCGTGCTCTGCGACGGTGTGGTCGTGGAGGCCTGAGCCGGTGGTGACTGTTACCTTGGAGGTGTCGAAGCCGGCGGAGAGGACGTCGTTGGGGCCGGCGGCGAGGGACTGGATCCACTTGATGTTCTTGAGGCGGGCGGCGGCGTCCTTGAGGTTGTCGGCTGAGTTCGTCCAGGTGACGAGGATCTCGGCGTCTGTGTGCTCCTCGGGGATGGTGGTCTTCACGTCGTAGGGGACGAGGTCGACGGAGAAGCCCTGGAGGCTGTCGACGTCGAGCTTGAGGGAGGTGGGGTAGAGGAGCTTCATGGTTGTGACGTGTGTGGTGTTGAGGGTTTATGAGATCTAGAGGTTGGTGTGTTAGTGATTTTGGTCACCAATTGGAAGCTTGGATAGCACAGGAGGCTCTTACATTATGAGACGTATGAGAGGAGAATCCGAACACTGAAGAGATCGTGAAGAAACACCAGAAAAACGAGAGCATCTGGAAGAAAATGAGCGAGGGGTCACGTCTGGTTTTACCTAACCTCGGGGCAAGGCATACCGATGACGGAGAGACCGCGATCCAATAAAACACAACGCGCGCGACAGCTTCCGTGTAAGCGGGGGTAACAGGATATTCCATGGACTGTGGAAGGGGTGGATGGGTGGGATGGTGGGGGAACAGCGCCAAATCCGCACCAAGTTCCCACTCGCCCACTCGACGACGTCAAAAACGAAGCCATCCGGGCGTGTCGTTGGCGTCGTCAAGGTGGGGGAGGGGGCGGGGGAGGGGAAAGAACCCCGAACTTGGCTTGCTGACATGATCCCAGCAGCCATTTGCGTGATGGCAAGCACCGCAAGCTCACAATGATAGCCCCTCTACTAGAGAGCAAAGACTCCCCAGAGGCCCCCCAAATTTACCCAGATGGTCCAAGATCCAGACTAAAGTAGCGCATTGCATGTACACAGTACTGACTCGTCTCATGAACCCGCAACTTTCTGCGTGGCAACACGTGTAGACGTGGAGTTGAGTTCGGAGAAATTTGCTACTATTGGACGAAAGCGTGACCATTTTTTGTCACTTTGGACCAACGCGCCCGGGTTTCAGCGGCTATTGAGCGGCATAAACACCGATAGTTGCGGCAACTCACCGGATACTTTACCGTTCCATATCCGCCTGGCGAAACGCCTCTTGGGGGGTAATCAGGGAAGCTGGCTGTTTTTTTTTTCGGTTTTGTTCTTCTTCTTTTTGGGATGACATTGTTTGGTCGTGTGATTTGTGAGTGCTCTGAATCTAATTCTGGCTATCGAAAAGTCAACTCTAGATTCCCTTACGGCTTTTGATCGAATTTCTGATTGCCGTCACTCTTTTGTGACGTCTCGACGTCTCCAACGAGTTTCGGAGAACTTTCTGCAATACCCCAAACTTGGACAGAGGGTTTGTCAATGGCTTTCGGTTCGGCCTCGAAAGCTTGAACACGTTTCCTGGTTTAAATAGCCTGGGTTGATTGCCGAAATCCGACATGCGCAATGATGCACTACATTCAGTCAGGTCTAATGTCGCCCTAGCTTCCTTAGCTCCGCGGAATCAGGTGGGGTATTGCCTCCATCCATCGCCTTCTCCATATGAACAGGAAACTCAATCGCGGGCGAGCAATTACCTAAAATTGAACACTTTTAAGTCGGCCTTGTGAATCTCGTTTTGAAAACGAGTGCGAGAGTCTCCGAGACTCTGAGGTTCATTTTAAGTTGGTGCTCGTAGCCACTCATACAAGGGAACGGCGTGAAACTCCAGACCTAGGCGGTTGTCACAGCGATTCCTCTCCTAATGAACCTACCTCGTGTCGTTGAGGTTATCAGCAAAATCTAGATGACCTGATTTCTGCAACTCGCCGAAACTCTTAGAGTAGCTCAGGTAATCTTGTGATCACAGACGTCTATCACCAGCACAACGGGCAATCATACTCTTGGTCTAGTAAAAGTCTTCCCAATCCTCGCACAAATGTCTATTCCTATGAGTCTGTAATTGGGCAAATTAGCATGATAGATGTGAGAATGTTGCAAGTTCAAGAAGGTGGAGCATCCGTTCAGACTGATTATTCAAAACGAGACTTTTTGCTCGTAGGTTCTATAGATCTTCTGGTTACTATCTTTCCCCTCGGTGGCGGAGCTTGCATTCTTTTGGCAAGGGTCATCCTTTCCAGCCAAGATGAAAGTGAAGAGTAAACCCAACCACTTTCCGTCAAGCTTTTACGCCTACACGTAATTATACCAACCCTAGCTCCAAAGATTGTTTGAATGGCTGTCATCGCGGCAGCCTTTCCCAGCCAGTCTTTAAAGAACTCCTTGGCGTAAACCTTGGAAAAGGATGAGCCTCTGTGTTGAAGACGACCTCTGTTACTGGCATGTAGTCCGTCGGCGAGAATAGCAAGTATAAATACTTCAGAGTCTCAGCCTGCAGTCGGCAACGTCAGCTCGAAGTCTGCTCTGTATGTAACTTTGTTTGTCGACCACTTAATATATAACTTACCAGCCAGAAACTCTCCATATTATCCCTCGTCGAAGCGGGCACCGTCCGTACATCATTCATACTAGTATACCCCTCTCCGTCGGGCACCAAAGTATGCTTCTGGAACGATTGGAAAATCTTCCAGCCCCATTCTCGGTACATGGCATTGCCAGTGATGCGGTACATCATGAACAGACTCTCTACCGTCTCGGGTCTTTGCAGGTTGTGAGCGTCGAGGGGCTTGATGATGAAGTCCTTTTTCCACTTCGACAGTACTAACCATTGTATTAGCGCAAGGCTCCTTTGCTTGGAAAGGTTGGAAGAAAGTCGTCAACGTACCACTGCTTTCTTTACGTAACCACCTGTCGCCAGGTCCGGGCTGTAAGTCTGCTTCTGTGGCGTTGAACCACGTAATCTCGGGGGCGAGACCAGTGTCAGTGACGGCATACATGCCCCAGCAGGTGTTCATGATCTCGATCGAGAGTTCAATGTCGTCTTCGTGCTGAGCTGTCCAGCCCGGGTCACGACGGGCTTCCGCAAGAGGCCGCCCTTCTGTTGCCTGTTATGGTGGGGTTCAGCCGGTTGTATCCTTAGGAAATGACAGAATGAGAGACTTGAGAAACTCACAGCCATGGCGATTGTGCCCGGAAGAAAGCAGACGAGATGGTCCATCTTGGGAGATAGCGGTCCTCCCACGCCGGTCGGAAGCTCTGCAACGAACTTCAGTGCTGCGTTCCGCGTTGTCGTGACGAGGTGTCTCGCGATGCCGCCCAAGGCGTCATCCCACATGTCGCGGTAGATGGATTCGCCTGTTTGGAGGTACTGCTTCGCAAGATACTCTATGAGGCGTCAGTCTCGGAGCTATCTCACAAAGTGGGCTTGATCCCACCATAGTACGAGTCACCTCGACTTCCGAGCCGAATCTCCCTCGTCGTGAACTGTCCGTGGCTCGGATGCACAAAGATGGGAAGTAGTCCACCCTCCATCTTCTGGTCATCCAGCACCTTCATGACGCGCTCTGCTTTTTTCCAGTAAACGTCATTTCCAGTCAAGTGGGAAAGATACTTCATCTCAAGCTGTACAGTCGCAGCCTCAGCCGTGGACGAAGCCCCACCATCCGCATGCGAGGCGATGCCCTCCCTCTTGCCGATGTTGACGCTCGCATACGGGATCCCAGAGTTAGAGTCAAACGCCACCAGGAGCCGGTCCGCCAGGTCGATCGCCTTCGAGAGATAAACAGAGTCTCTTTTGGATGCGACATGCGACAGCTGGGTTGAGAGATAGTGTGCCGATAGAAGGCCGCCCAGCATACGGATCGTGGTCTCAAAGGTGTTTACGTCTTGGTCTTGGTCCCAAGTGAGGCTGCGGTGCAGCCATCTCCTGGCGTCAGCGAGGGGCTGGGTCAAATTCATGAGCATCATTGTGTCCAAGCTGTCGACGACGATCCAGCCTAGGCCCTTGGGAGACATGTTTTCTCCTCTCTTGGACATAGGATGAAAGACATCGTTACCTTGAGAAGAGTCGGCGTATTAGTTGAATTCGAAGAACGGGACGACTTGTTATGTAGGACATCTTACCCCATGCGTGTTTCTTGTAAGCATTCCAGCTCGTCAGAAACGCATCTCTTACTTCCTCTCTTCTGTCATACCAGTCGACGAATTGGGCTTGTGGGCTGTACTGCACGTGTCCCAGAGCATCACCAGAGAAATATCCTCTAAAGCATGCGACAAGAACTGCGGAGACAAATATGCCAATGAGGACATTACGTATCCTCCGTCTCAATGAATTCTTTCTCTCACTGGACAAGTGCAAAGAAATCCGAGAATCACGACCGGCCGAACCAGCAGCCTTGGGTCGTGTGGGTGAGTGCCGACTTCGTCGGTTCGGTGAGGTGCCCATCGTGGTGTTCTTGCTGCCGAAAATGAGTGTGAATGATCCAGAACTAGATTCGATCGTGTCTTCTAGGACGCAACTAAGAGGAAATAGTCTCAATGCAAAAGAAACAGAGGAATGGATAAGTACGATCCTCCATTCAAAACCAACAATTAGAAGCGCCAGCGCTTAGCGCCCTTGGGCCTTGCCTGCAGTCTAAGGAAGAGGTACCCGATGAGCCATCATGCAAGGGCAAGAACAACCAACGGGCGGTAAATGTAACTATGTTCCAAGGACGAAAGACGTAGTTCCCTCAAGTTTTCGCTCGCGCATTTGAGAAGGCACGAACAAGCGTCTTCCCTTTCAATTGGATACCAAAGAGTTGGTAACGGCCTGATTGAATCTTGGCAGCCCAAGATCTCAAGATGCCATTCGCCCAGGTTCCACAAAACTGCACGATGTTGGAGCTCGTTACTCGGGGGGGGGGTTCTTTCCATCTTATGCCGCGCGCTACGCCTGGGAAACTGCGGCCGTAAGACTACCCTGCCTACCTTGCCTTCACATGGCATGTTGTTGGGGCCTGTTTTCTCGAGATACGCAAGCGCTGGACAATTTCTCCAGATCGCACCTCAGGCCTGGCCAACGCATGGCTCACATCCACGATACAGGCCAAAAAAGAGCCCTCGCTGTCTAAACATGGCAATTGAATTCAGAACCAACAAAGGAAGACAGCACGATATTGCAGGGACTCATTATGTAAGACCGATGCGAGAATACTAGCATGTCGGTTCCACCCATTTGAAAGGCAACCTGTGGGCATTCGACCTACAGCATTGGCAACAGATAGATCAACTTCGCCTTTGTCGAGTTCCCTAAGCCAAAGGCCTCAGCAGCTTGATCGGCTTTTCTTCCTTGCCATCACTATCTTATTACATGGCTATCGCAGGTTGTAGGCTTCGGTGACAATGGCGACAGCATATCCCGCTGTGACCGACGAGAACGGCACCGTCACGTCTTTCATAGCGCTTCCGACCGCCTTCACACCACCGACGAGCTGTTCGACCATCTATCGCCTCAACGGCTTCTCTCTCGCAGCGTATGACCCAGGTTACGGCATCGACATTGACACCAGAGTACGATGCGCGCCGCCAGCAGTCACAACGTGGTGGGAGCAAGGACGCCTCGGCCTCAACGACGGCGAGGGCCATACTGCCGTTAGTATCGGGCCTCTAGTATGTCCTGAGCGCTGGGTGACGGTTGCGACGTCGGTCAAAAACGATACGAGCAGTACACTTGCCATGTGCTGCCCGCAGTGAGTGTCGCTGGTGATCGAGACTTTCTCAGTATACGGATTGTTGCTGATTAGTCGTTGTAGAGACTACACTCTGATCAGAGGTATTGCCGGTTCGGTTGAAGGAGACTGCCGTTCAGATCTCCTGTCCGGAGCAGTGATCACCTATGCATCAACATCCGCTCCAGATACTTCAAGCTGGACAATGGTGACGTCAACCCTCACCCAACCAGGTTTCGTTGGTGCCATCGCAGTGCTGGGATGGAATATCGAAGAGACAGCAGCCACTCCAATAGCAAGAGTCACTGTCACTGACGCAACTCCAACACCCACAAACGCAGTCAATGTCAATACCCCCGCTCTGCCTCGAGAGACTGCATCAACCACGACACTTTCGCCCTCAGGAGCGATATCGACGCCCGAGCCCGCAGCCCTCCCGTTGACGACCGCCATTGGAATCGGCGTAGGTGCTGTGGTAGGGGTCATCGCGCTGGCCATCCTCGGGTTCTTCTTTTGGCGTAGGAAGCGCAAGCAGCAGCGAAGGGCAGGAGAAACTGTGCCAGTCGTCGAAGAATATCATGCGAGGCCTCTTGAGACGAATAAAATCACGTCTCCCGCGCCGCGATATCACGAGCTTTACGTACACCAGCATGGTAGGAATCGGCAAGAAGTGACAGAGCTGCCTGTTCCACAGTACTATGCTGAGCTGGATGGAAGTAGGCCGGCATCAAGGTCAGATAGTTTAGGTCGGGCTACAAGGTGAGCATGCGATGCTTGAACAAGAGCATGAGGAGTTTAGTGGGGAGGGGGGGTGGGGGGGGGGGGGGGTACGGCCCTGTTCTTTCGAGATACCTGCGGCGTTGCGGATGATTTTGCCTATTAGGAGTTATTCTGATGTCTATATGGCGCTAGAAACACCTTGAATCTATTGTAATAGTTGAAATGCGACTTCTCCTTCTAAACATCCAACATGCTAACGATCATAACCCCAGCTTCGTCAACTCGCTCTCCAGACTCACTCTCCACGCCTTCGCCTTCTCCCCCTTCCCTCTAGGACAAACCTCACATATCGCCCTCGTAAAGTTCACGACCTTCTGCACCGTCTCCTGAACGCCCTTGTAAGGCCATCCAGCCACAACCTCCCCTTCGATCCCCTTCTCTAGACAAACCTCCCTCGCCCACCCCCTCAGCCTCTCCCTCTCCGCCTTGGCCACCATCTCATCATCTCCTCCACCCCAAGGATACAAAAACGCATTCGGCGGATCCCACCTCGGCCCAGGCACCACCCCACCAAACTCCCAGTCCAAAATCCCAGTCACGTTTCCCTCCCCGTCCACCATGACGTTCGCGAGGTGCAGGTCCCTGTGCGAGAGTACATACCGCGTATCATCCACCTCGTCCGCGTGAACCCTAACATACTCTCTATACTCCTCCAAACGCGGCACGAGATCCCTCATCCACCCGAGCGAAGCGTGCCTCCCAATAGCGTAGATATACTTCTCGACGCTCTTATCCAGAAGCTCCGCCCACCCGGAGAACGCGCCCCCAACAGGATTCAACGTCTCGATAGTCTCCCCCTCCCAGCACCGCGAAATCTCAGGCTCCATCCAGAACCACTCATCCACAACCGGGCCCGGCACCACCTCCCCCTCGTCATCGACCCTCAACCCGCCAACATGCTCCCACGCACCACCCTTCGAACTTTCCCACAGCTCCGCGAGAAAGCCCACAAGCTGCTCGGCAAGCCTCTTCCGCGCAACCTCCCCCAGCTCCCAAAACACCTTATCCGCACTCGCACCGTCAACCCTCTCCAACAGCGTAAACTCGTACCCCAGCACGTTCTCACAAGAAGAATCCCAGCGCAGCACGGCAGGCACGGGGACCGAAGTGTGTTGTCGGACCCAGCGCATCATGGCGACTTCGTTTTCTGTTTTGATGCGCGGTAAGTGGCGGCCTGCGACGCGGAGGACGAGCGTTATGGTGCCGTTTGCGTTGGGACGTGCCGGTGCGAGGTGCGTGGCATCTGGAGGGGGAAAGTGGAGGAGGTAGATGCTGTGGAAGGCTGCTGTTACTGTGAGAGGTTCTGTGTGGGTTGGCGGTGGGAGGTTGAGGGATGTTGTGAAGGCGAGGAGGTCGGTTGGTGTGAGGAGGGGTGGGAGGTTCGCCGCGGGGCCGGCCATTTTGAGACTTTTCGTGGAGGGCTGGGTTCTTGTGATTTTACTGTGGACACGGAATGGATATGGTTAAGGAAAAGCACGGGTTCGGCGTCTTGTCTTTATATGTTTCCTTCTAATCGATGCTGTTCTTGGACTTTGCTGAAATCCGTAGATCTACTGATCCTTCCAACTCGCAAGGGAAGGCGATGTTGATGCAAAGTAAGCGCTACCGTCCCGGCCCCACACGCCTACGGTCTACCTAACCAGTATCGGGCCCGGCGCCGAAGAGCAGATCCACTTAACCCGGATGAGCCATCGCGTATCATCCGCCCACCGGCAACGCTTTGGGGAACTCGCTACAGGATCTTAAGATGTAATCGACATATACCTCATTCATAGTGAAATAAGAATCGGAAGATGGGAAATGGGCTAGTGACGCTTCGTTCTCCTATACGAATCGCCGCATAACTGTATCAGCAAGGCAAGAAAGACGACCGCTCTGCGCGTCGTAACCCAGCCTGCTCTCACTGGCCCCAGCACCACCGGCTCAGATAAGGTAGGTTAGGCTTCGTAGAGTTTACTTGGGCACCTATCTTCCCTGAAAAACTGTGATTCATGAACATATACTGCAAGAGGCAACACTCATAAACGTATCCAAGGTACCTATGTTAAGAGGAGGACTTGACATTGTGGTTTGTTTATCGGCAACCTGTATGACTTCTTCCGGAAGATCTTTGTGTGGATTGAATACGGGTCTTCCGCTTGGACACAGATGGGGGTTTCGGATTCAATAGCTTGATTGTGCTATCTCGCGCTTTCTCGAGCGCAATGAAGAAGTCATCTAGCTTCTGACGCTTGATCGGGCGCTACGAGTCCGACCTACTCGGACCACCTTCACGATAGATGGAAGGGCGCATTGCCCAAAATCACAAACCGTAGGCCTCCGTGGCTACCGTCCAGCACATGTATATACCTCCCCTCTATTCCAAAGACGGAGCCCGATGATACATACCCAAACTATCAACCTGATGTACACCCTAGAGTACCTCAGATATTCATTCATCAACATCATGTCAGCCCGTTCATGGATCACTTCAAGTCGACCCCTCACAATTCACCCTTAGCGGCTTCGTCTGTCTTGGGTATCCGAGGGAAGCAAAGCTGAGAAATCCTCTTGAATAGCATGTCAGAAGGATAAACCCCCGCATTTCCCTCATGAAAAGTACCGTCTAAGCTACACGAGTCCGGTAAGCTATGCTTCTAGATGTCCAGGAACATTTAATATAAATGCTACAAAGACAACACACCCCAAGCAAAAACACCCGACGCCTTGGCCCTTGGCCCCCAAAATACCGACTCTCTAAATGCAGCACGTCCCCAAAACACCACGTGGGAAAATATCGTCACCGGCCGGCACCTTATTCTCGGCCATTCCCTCTTCCCTCTCACCCTCGCCCCCTACGCAAAAGTTGCCGAACCGACCGACCCGGACCGGCGCATTAGCGCTCCAGCAACTCCCTACTTCCCTACATCCCGTGTCCAGCCACCACGAGTCGCGCCCCTCAAACACCAAGCACAGATCCCCTCAAACCCAGCAGATCCTTGCGAGGCAAACCCGAAAACGGGCAGATATACACTGAATCTCAAGAAAAAAGAGCCGCCCAATCAATCGGTAGCCGCCAAGCCGGCCACCATGAGCGTTTAAACAAGATACACGAAACGCTCTCTTTAAAAAGTCGCTGCGGCTCTTGAGGTGTCCTGGATCTTCTTCCAGATTGATCAGGTTCAGAAACTTGAGAAAATGCCGCTTCTATTTTCACTTGTCTTGGGATCTTGGCCAAACACCAAGAGCGTTCTTTTGGAATTATGTCTCTGCCCGTGATCTCTGATAAACTCGTTCTCGTTCACCCAGGATTTCCGACAACGACCTCTATCCGGACTTGCGCGCTGGGGCTGGGGTACGTGGTCACTTCGAAAGGTAAGATATACTGCAGTTGACTCGTGTTACTTTTGTCTCTGTCTAACTATCTATGCCCATCTTATCATTATTTCACCATTATGCTTCTTGACTCAGCAAACTGCTATGCATTGGGACTCCAGAGCCCCGTGGTATTCCCCCCCCTGTCCGCTTTCTCGGTATTGTTCTCTGCACTTGAACTCGTTGGGACTGGGCTTCATCGGAGAGGCATCGGTAATTACAGATCAACCCACGTACCATATACACAAGTGAAAGTCCAAAGATCACTGCCCAGGTGTAAGTTTCCGTCAATTAGTCATGTCTGTACAAATGCGCGCAGCTGGCTGGTGTTATGGTTATCTTGTCCCAGCTGTAAACGCAGCGCCCGGGGGACTGCTTTTCCGTCGGCCTTCCTCCATCCATCGGCATGAGACCAGGATACACTTGAACTCAAAACAGGCATCGAGCATCCTTGCACATCCTGTCCCAGCCTACTGCGTCAGCTGAGTCGCAATGATACTTCGCGACGCTGATTCTTTCGCTGTCCTCGCCGGCTGACCATTATTGATCGTTTAGGCGTGAGCGGCCGGGGCGGCGGCGGGAGCGGCTTCCTTGGCAGCCTCAGCAGCAGGAGCGGCGGGCGCAGCGGCAACAGGAGCAGCGACAGCGGGAGCAGCAGCAACGGGGTTGGCAATGTTGGCGCTAGTGAGACTCTGCTGGGCGACCTGGATGATGTTGGCCTGGCCGAGGGTGTTCTGGGGGAACCGGGCGTTGAAGCCAATGACATCACGGACGGCAGTAAAGGTTTGGGGCTGGACCATCAGGCGCTGAGTTGAGACGAGCCACTGAACACCCTCAGAGCAGGGAGGAGTAGTGAGGGAACCCATGTAGCTGCAAAAGAATTAGACATTGGAAATCAGAGGACTGTCAGACGTGGATCGTACCTTTGGAAGCTGCCGGCGGAGAGAAGAGTGACGACCTCCTGCATGTTCAGCGCGCCAGTCTTGGTGACAGTACCGGGCTCCTTGATGGCACCGAGGGAAGAGAAGACGGTCTCGAGAAGGCTAGAAGAAGCAGCCTCGGCCTTGATCGGGTTGGTTCCCATCGCGGGGATAGCCTTCGGGGCTTCGGCCGCGGCTCCAGTAGCAGCGCGGCGGGCCAGCTTGGTGCGGCGCTCAGCAGTTGCGTTTCCTCCAGCGGGAGCAGCTTCAGCAACAGGAGCAGCCTCGGCGACAGGGGCGGCGGGGGCAGCAGCGGCAGCGCCCTGCTCCAGGTCGATGTAGGTACCAATGACGGCAATCTCCTGGTTGGCACCCTCGAAGACCATGTGCATCTCCATAGCCATGCTCTTTCCGGCGTCGAGATGCTCACTGGGCAAGTGGAAGTGGAACTGCTGCAGGGTGAAGTTGCTGCCTCCAACTTGCATCGATCCGCCCTTGGCGATAACCTCAACGGTGGTTCCTAGGTTCTCGAACTCGGTGCCATCGGCCATGTCGGGGATCTGGAGGTTGATGGAGCTTCCGGGGAGAACGTTGAAGGAGCCGGCCACCATGTCGATGGGGGACTGGGTGGTTCCCGTGGCGCACAGCTGGTTGGCAGTAGTATCCAGAGCGACCCAGTTCAAGGGGCCCTTGACGATATTGTTAGTATTGAGGTGTGCGGCTTCAAAGAGAGAAGAGAGCACTCACATTGCTGCCGGTGTAAGCAAAGTTGTTGACCTTGACCTTTCCCTCCTCAGCGCGAGGATCCAAGTGAGTTCCATAGGCGCACGAGGCCAGAACCTGGGAGATAGAGGCGGCGAAGAAGCCGAAGGTGATGAGACGGGAAGACATATTGAGCTAAAGGTAGGATACGGGACCAGCGCGTGGGGGGCCTACAAAGGATCGAAGGAAGGGAAGAATAGAAGCGAGTTACAAAAAAGTAGATTATTGAAGAAAAACGTATGACCAGCCCTCTAGGGGAAGAAACGAAACGAACGAGAAGAGAAGTTGAAGGTGAAAGAAAAGACAGATGATGGAGATGAAGAACGAGATGAGCCGAGAGAAGGAGTATGTTTGCATCAAGATGGCATGATGTCTATATACTTATGATCTGTAAGACTGTAGTCGAGGGCTGGTTATCTTGATGATCTACCTCACAGGTCCAAGAATAGTATCAATAGGCAAGAACCCATGCGAAGATGGCCGGGGCGGATAAGCAGCGAGGGACGGAATCATGGTGAGGATCTTGGCATGTGCTTCATCCAGGGTGTTGAGGAGCAGTGAGAGGCTCAGAAGGAAAAAGAGAACGGGTTGATGAATGAGGTTTAGGATTCCCTGTGTTTGGGGATGAGCGCCTCCGTTTCCCATGGTATCGCGGGCATGTTTCTGGCGCAGAATGGGAGGGGGGCTTTCAAGCTTCTCCATCCAATGCGACTGCATGTCATCTGGACTATGGACCAGGATCAATGATTGAGAGCAGGCGGCCAAGGCCGGGCGAGGCTATTGAGACGGAGGAGGAGGCTAGAAGGAGGGCCGTTTGGACAAGAGAGCGGAAGCCAGGGGGCCTTGCGACCCTGGTCGAGTTGACAGGATGGGAGTACGTCGCCAGGGTGAAACTGCCAGGCTCCGGAGGGTTGGATGGGGTTGTGGGGAATATGGCCACTTTATGAGTCTGGTGCTTGGCCAAGTCAACAGCTGGAGAGAAGACCCCTGCGATGCGCGTTCCACGAGTCTCAACGTGGGAGTTGATTGAAGTGACGGGTGTGGGAGAGAAGCGCTGGTTCGGACGGAGACGAAGCCCCCTTCCCAAAGATCATCTTAGCGATGATCTTGTTGAGACGACGGGCTGGATATCAACACCATCATGTTAGGTGATGCTGAATGACTGCATTTACCCAAGTGATTCCCAAGAAGCGGGAGGGTGGCTAAAAATAAGCATTTGGAAGGATCGACGACAAGAGCGGTGTTGGCCAAGTCGAAGCCGGAGGAATATCATATGCGGGAGTGACGTCTAGGGGAAGACGGGAGTCAAGAATTGAGGCTCTTTGTCCAAGGCATCCAAGAGGATACCAAGAGCTTGGTAGGCGGGGAGTAGCAGCACCTGCCACTGGAGCACGAGACTCAGACACGGCCTGCCTGGGTAGGTACGCAGTACCTTCAGGTATGGATGGAAGGTGCAAAGGTGCAATGGCAAGGGGGGCTTTGGGTACATATCTCCCGGATTTTCCCTCAACCACGTGTTACGGGCTGGCTGAGTAAGGTAGGAAAGGAAGGAAAGTACGGAGTACGGAGTACGCTGTGCTGCGTTATCCGTGCTTGCCTACTACCTTACTCAAGAAGGTATCCGAAGGTGTCTCCTTCCTCGGCTGAGTGAGGGCGTTAGAGACGTAAAGAAAAGCTGGTAGGTGCGATGCCTGCGTAAGGTATGGCCTGGGCAGCAACTTCAGGTTGCGGTAAGGTGAGGTAGGCCCAAGCTTGCTCTTTCCTTCCAAGTAAGGTGAGGGCAAAAAGTAGGTAAGGTAGCCTGGTAGATGCAAGCTCTAAAGAACCATCGTCTTGCTCTTACTCGTACGCGTGGCAGATATGGCAAGAGTAAGGTAAGGTGCTGTGTAATGGCAGGAAGCAACCAGGGATGAGGCAGCCGTCAGAAAAACCTTGTTCACCTTTGGTAGCGCTCTAAACCTTAACAGCCTTTAAGCCATGCACGACCTCCTGCTCTTGCCTGTCTCTGTCTCTGTCACGCTGAGTCTGTTCGGACGACACAGGGGTATTCGGACCCACTTTTCCCAACCGTCACCGCGTGGTGAGACGACGCACGGGACACACAGCAGCCAGTCCCAGACCGCGGCAGGAAAGAGCAAGTTAAGTTGACTGCATGGCAAGACCCGGTGCGAAGCTGAAGCACCTCAGATGAAGCACGTTCCTGCCTTACGCATATTGCACTCCAGGTCACTTAGGTTCCTTCTTTCTTGCGTTGCAGCCAAGCTACGGTCCATGGATGACGACGGAAGAGAGCCCGACAACTTGTCTGACAGACACGCTAAGACTGAAAAGACGTTGGATCCTGTCGAGAGGTGAGAGGCTTGTGAGAAGGGATGACAGGAAGAAGGGGTAGGGAGGAAGAAAACAGCTGATTTTTGCAGGGCCAAGAGCTTAAATGGCTGCCAAGTCAAACTGGGGGCGGAAGTGGAAGGGGTCAACTTGGTGATGGCTTGCGATATGTGAGCCGCCACCATGTGTCCTTGACAGCAGACGGGGAGGTTAACCTCAAGTACGACTCAAAGTCCAGGACTGACTAAGCTAAGCGATGGGAAACTGCCAATGAGGAAGCGTCGTGATGTGGGAGAGCGCCTGGCCGCTGTGCACCCTAGCGTTCCATCCAGGCGGTACACCCACTGGAAACATCTTCCCTGCAACGGATAACTTGCCTTGAACCAGGTTAGGTTACCCACGGTGTCCGCTAGTCCCCTCGCTTAATCCTCACTACAGCGCCTCTACCTGCTGTAAGGTAGGGAGTAGGCCGCCTGAGGTACCAATGGACCGCTTGAGGACTGGGCTGCGTTTGCGTTCGCCGGCCGCGCCTCTCGCCAAGTCTTGCACCTCCTGATTTCTTCTGGGCGCGTCTCACGCCCTTTCCAAACTGCTGGGGCCTGCGACAAACCTCCACCTCCGCATCTCAACTTCACCAATTGTCTTCAACGAGGTCGCCTGCGCGGTAGTATTCGTCTGCTCTCCAGCCCCGGTCCCTTCCCTTCTCTACCAGCTACGCCAGCCTACGACTCAACCCACCTTGTTACTTGCCTACCGTCTACGCTCTACGGAGTCACGGGAGTACGTCCTCAAAGTTCGGACTTCTACCACCCACGCAACTGTCCATCACCAATACCACGCCTCGCCGCGCCCCATTTGCCAGCCATGCCATCCCTCTCCGCGTTCCCGCCGACCGTCTCGACCTCCCCGTCGGCACCGCCTGCCTTCATCTGAAGCTTCTTGGCGCGCTCCAAACGTCAGACGGCCCCTCCTTTGGCGCCAAGTCCCAGCGTCTACCGGAACCGCGTCTGATGTTTTAGCGACGACATGGGAACTTGAGAAGCTATCCCCATCTCCTCGAGTCCTTTCAGGCTCACCGCTCACGGCTTCACCCCAGTATCTGCCTGCCGGCCAGCCTTTTGGCTGTGGTCCTAACTGAACGACCTGGTTCTCGATCCCCACAGAGAGCAGAAAGAGTTACCCTTCAGCTGGGAAGGCCTGACGCTCTGTCCCTCTTTCCCTCTGCCTAGACCACTCGACGGTCCGTCCTTGGTGTCCGGCGCGCAACTCGCTCAACTCGACATTGGCGCTGGTCTTCGCTTTCGCTATTTGTTTGGGACCCCATCTCTGCCGACGACGTGCCAAGTCGCCCAGCGTTTTCGTCTCCATCATCATCAAGAGAACTCAATCTGAATGCGACGTCGCCCATAAGGTCCAACGACAGTCTTCAGCAGAGTCGGCTTGGCGAATCCCGAATGCCGTCTTGGTGGCCAAGGACGTCGTCATCTCCATCATCACCAAGGGTTTCCAGCCAGTTTTTCTGCGACGCATAAACCACGCAGCTGGTGTCTGGTCATCGGCGAGCGTGAGCCAAGACGACTTCTCCTCATATTTCGTCAGCACCGCCCGTAACATTCGGCTTGTCAAGTTGTCACTGTCAGTCGGTTCATCCAACATCCGCAAGATCTGCAGTGTCTACGCTGTCGCTGTCACTTGACCCAGGATGAACCGCACCGCGGCTGGGACGTCTCAGCGAGAAACACTGGCGTTGGTTCTCTCGCCACTTAAGATTCTGTCTACATGGAACTCGTGTATCGATTCTTTGGCTCTGAGCACATGCCTGAAGAGAAAGCAATGCGCCAAAAGGCGGTAAGCGAACGGACAATCGCCGCTCCTTCAGAACAATGATTCTATAAGCATGATGAAGCTGTGGCGACGGCACTCGTGACGGAGTCTTTCCGGAGTAAGTTGGCTTGGCTTGTAGCGAGGACAGTGAAGTGCCCCTAGGCATTAGAGTCATACTTTTCATCGCAAAGGAGAAGTTGAGCTAGACATGCGTATCCCTCGCGTCCCTCGCATCCCGAAGCAGACCACTCGCCCCAATTCGGATGCCAGCTCTCTGCTCCGGTAGAGGTGGTCCGGAACACGCACCTTTCACACTGCGGATACCGATGTCGCCAAGCACTTACCGTTGCGTTGAGAGCAGTCGACGTCGTACTAGAACTCTTCTCCGCATGTTGCAACCTAGGCAAGCTTGCTTCTGCCCCTTGTTGTGAGACATCCTTAATTCTTCCAGGGCTGGAAATTGGCGATTGGTCCTGTCCTAGTCGCACTTCTCGGCGTCTCGACGTTCCATTGTGCCCTGCAGCACTTGGCACTTGGCTGCTTGTCCCGCCGTGCCTCTCCGCTCGCTAGTGCAGGCCTCTATTGTCCGCCGAGAGACACCAGCAAAATAAGCTTCTACTGCCCAGGCCCTAATCGCAATGAAGTGTCGACGGTTACCATAAGTGAACAACAACAAGCGAAAGAGTATCGAAAGCCTGGCGTCTAAACGTGGCGATGCATCTTTCCATAGCCAGCAATCGTATTTAAGGCAAGTGATATGCCGCCAAATGATTGTTTTTTTTTTCCTTTCCTTTCAGGACCTTTCAGATTCTGATCATGTCGTGTACGAATGCTCAGCCCATGATCGACGACTCGAAACGTGGAGACCCCCTTGATGATGGAGAGCGCGCGCGAGACCCCAGCCGCGTATCACGAAACATTGGTTCATTCTCGCCAAACTTGCTTATTGGTGGACACAGGAGGCGAGGAGGCTTTGCGAAAACTTCAAGACCTTCCGAATCATCTCCTGACGGATCGTTTAGGGTTGGGTCTGCTCTTGTCCCGCTTACTCATGGTCTCGTGGATCGTACAAGAGTCATTGACGCGGATTCGGAGAAAAGATGACGCAGAATGTTATGGCGAGCTACTGTCTAAAGAGGTTCTATGCAGATGACTTGGCCGTCGCTCCCTCACCGTAATGATTCTGCGTCATCTTTGGGTGTCCTCCAGGCTCCAGGTCAGCGTGTAAGCACATTTTGCACTAACAATCTCCCAACTCTTTATTTCTCCGACGGGATAGACTACACCCCGAACCGCTGGCCAAACCAGACCTTAATCCGGACTTCGTCACATGCCCTTTCGTCAAGACAACCCTTTTTTAGAAGTAATCATTCATCATGTTGGAATTTTTCTGATAACAAGGGGTGAGAGGAAGTTGACATTCATTGCATCCTTCGCCCCTGAGATGAGGTACCTTATGTCGAGGAGAGATTTTGAGAACTGCAAGAGAGACACTGGCTTCCACTAACTCGCATGACCGGAGGGAGGCCCACTAGCCACCGGCCGACGGCCGCGGAGAAGTGGAGTATCTTCGCTTACCGGATCGGGAATGCGAAGGGGCGCAAAACTCCAACTCCACTTTCCACGCCCGCGCCCGGATGTTCGGCGTTCATAGCTGGAAGTTGGAACACACGAGTTCCCCCTCTGAAAGAAGTGGTCTCGCCGACGCAAGTGTTGAGACTTTGATATGATTGGTCAAGTCATTGGTGGAATGCGCAATGATAATACGCCCATCCATAAGTCACCTTAAGGTAAGGTACCTTAGGCAACACTACAGATTGATGCTCCGATGGGCTTGCATGTGGTGTTAGTTCCTTCCCACTAGCGCGTCAGCAAACTCCGCTTTCTGCTATCCCGGTGGTGCTAACCCGGTGAGGAATGCGAAGCTATGCGAACCTCCTGCGAATGATGTATAAAGATGATGGAAAGGCGATGAATTTCAGTAGATTTGGTCGCGCGCTCTCTTACGACACAAGTCAGCTGTTACATCTTTCCTCTTCTTGAATCAAACTTTTTTGTAAGAAAACCAGTCATACAAGAAACATACAAACCAAAAAAAGATACACAAAATGGTCACCCGCGCCCAGGTCCAACACTCCAACGCGGCCCTCACATCCCGAACCGCGCCCCGAACGGCCGTCTTCCTAGGCGGCACGTCAGGCCTCGGCAAGCTCACCCTCATCGAGCTGGTATCCCTCGGCTTTCCCATACGGGTCTACATCGCCGGCCGCAAAGCCACGGAGCCGGCGATGAGACCCGTGCTCGAGGACCTGCGGCAGAAGAACCCGCGGGCCGAGCTGGTTTGGGTCGAGGCCGAGGTCTCGTTGCTGGCGGAGACGAGAAGGGTGTGTGAGGTTGTGAAAGCGAAAGAGACGAGTCTCGATTTTCTGTGTTTGACGGCTGGGTATGCGCCTTTTGGGGGGCGGAATGGTGAGTTTTTGATGAGAGGTTTCGCTTGTTTCTGTGCAAGATGAGAGGGGGTATATGGATGAGTAGAGTGAAGATGCTGATTTCGGTTTAGATACTGCGGATGGGATAGATGTCTGCCATTCCCTGGAGTACTACTCCCGCATGCTCGCAACCCTCCACCTCCTCCCCCTCCTCCGCGCCTCCGCCTCCGCGTCCTTATCCTCCCCCGGCCCAAGCCCCTCCCCGCGCGTCCTCACCGTCCTGGCGGGAAGCATGCTCTCCACCCGCATCGACGCAACAGACCTCAACCTCACCCGCTCGTCCCCCAGCAACACCAGCAGCAGCAGACTCTTCGGCTTCAAGACGCAGACGCACATGTCGATCATGAACACCCTCTTCCTGGACAGGCTCGCCTCCGACCCGGCCAACGCGGGGGTGTCTTTTGTCCATAATTGGCCTGGCGCCGTGGACACGGGGAACATGGCGCGGTATCACGCGCCGACGTGGTGGAGTCCGTTCCCGCTGACGAACTTGCTGAGGCCGTTGTTTTTGGTGATGGGGTTTGAGGAGAGGGAGGCGGGGGAGAGGCATGTTTATTTGGCGACGTGTGGGCGGTTTGGTGGGAAACCGAAAGGGGAAGAGGAGGGGGACGGGAAGGAGAAGGGATGTAAGAACACGAGGGGGGAGGAGGGGAGGAACGGGTTGTTTTTGGTGAATCATAAGGGGGAGGTTTCGTATAGCGAGAGTGCTTTGGTGGAGTTGAGGGGGGATGTGCAGGGGAAGGTGTGGGATTTGACGATGGAGATCTTGGGGCCGTATTTGTGAGGGGTTGTGGGCGATGATTTTGAGGGAGGATATCATGAGGTGTTTTCGGTTTGGTTTTTAGGCATTAATGGAAGGTTGATGTGGTGCTTCTGCTGTTGCGGCTGGGATCGTTGGCGCGGATGAACTATCTTCTACTGATGCATCCATAACGGATCCTAACGTGTTGATATGGATGAACTTCAACTGGGTTTTGAGTTTTTTGAAAAGGATGTGTTCGAGGACGACACAACTTGATGGGACATTATTTGGCTATCGTTCTGTCCATAAGCTGGATGGAGTCTCTCCATAGAAGTTCCCGTGAGAGTGGTATTGCCTAGGGCCATCCAAAAGGCCACGAAAGTCAGGACTTGCTTCAATCAGGGTCTTCGAAAGCTTCGCTAGCTATATACTTCACAGAGCAAGGGTCCTTCATCAAGTTCTGACTTGCTGAGTTTCCATGGATGTGGCTGACCATTCAAAAACCACCGAGCTCTGATTGGGAAAAAGGTACGACGATTAAAAGATGAACGACCTACTGTCGATGACAGATTATCTAGGTAGGGGCCTCACTTCCTTGGTCTATGAAGTCTACTTCCCAAGTTACCGGTTTATACACCTGAATCAATTGGTTTTCCTACTTGCGAGATACAAGTGGCATAGTGAAATCAGCTTATCAGGTGGCTCTTTCACGAGGCAGCCACTGAATGCCAGAGCTCGAGTCTCTATTCACTATAACGACAAAAGGCAAGGTCTAAATGTATCCCACAAGCTGAGGGCCATCTGACAGGGCATTTTGGACGCTTTCAGATAAGGTAGGATAAAGAGGCGCATCCAGCTCAACTCATACTCATCATGGAGTACTTGAGGCACACTCCGGTTTATTTCATTGTACCATCTGCTCATTTTATAGGTATGATCACTAGACACATCATAGAGTCTCGTCCGAGGACAACGGGCTTCAAATCAAAGCCGAAGGCGATGCCTTGAACACTGACCAATCTCTCAACTTCGCAGCACTGAAGCAGATCGATCAACTTGAAGCACATCTGACTCGGAGCTATTCCCAGAACCTAGCTCTTCTTCAGCCCTTGGAAGAGCCCTTGAAAGGTTGCTGTAGCGTTAAGTAAGTCTCACGTCCACAACCCAATCATGCGTCGTTTCTCTCGACTTGAGCTTATTTGCAAACTCGCTCTGTCTGAGACAAAACGGGCCTATCCGGCGCCGGTCGGCCGGTCGGCGTCTGACATGGTAGGTCGGGTAGGAAATCGGAACTCTTTAGATGCGGAGTAGCAATCAACGCCGGCGCGAGCTACCTACACCTTAGCGTTGGTAGGTGGGGGACCCAACGTCAGCGCCATCGTTCGCAACGGCTCCAAGCCTGGCTGCGACTTCACATGCACGTAATAGCGTCGGGGTAGCAGAGAGAGGCTGGGAGGCTTTGGAGATTCGGAGAGCTAGACATGCCAGGCAGTTCGGATAGAGGAGGGCCAAGATGGAGGGTGGGATGGAGGGGCGAAAGGGTCAGCCCGCAGCAGGATGCAACCCTGCAACCCAAGGTCATTCGGACGGAACCTTCTTTCGTTGTTTGCATATCGGCCTGCTCATCGAGACAACATCCCG